TTCTGCCACGAATTCCTCTACCTCCTTGGCATTATTGCTGTTAAGTTGCAAACAGCAAAAGACACTCAAGTCACTGGTGAGATGCTCTGTTACACTCCACTCCAGGTTATTATTTGATAATGTAGGGCCCAGGCCTTTAAATCTTGATTGGAGTTAAATCTTGCCCTTTTTCTTCCTTGACAGCCAGCAGATGGCATTTAGTATAAATGGGCTCAACCTTTGGTTGGGGATCATAGATTCTTGGCCTGTCAGCATGACATGCCCACAGCCATAGAAGGCAGCTGTGAGAATGCAGTTGGATGACTTATCTATTCCAAGAGGAAAGGCCAGCTATCCGTGCAGCAGGAGCCGTGAGGGTACTCCCGCGTTATGGTTGTCCAGCACGGTGAGGCCTTCCATGATCTGCTGGTGGTGCTGGCTGAGATCCTCTCCATACCTGGAAAGACAGTGCCCACGTTAGTGCCAGTGGAAAGCCAGAGTGTCAAAGAAAAATGCAGAGGACACCAAGGCACGAGTTCATTTGGTGCAAAATCTGCAAGAGGAAACAAAAGACAATGCTATTTTAGTCTTCATTCATTTTTGAATCCATTTTAATTGGGACCACTCTTGCAAAAGTATGGAGTTTTATTTATAAGTCACAGTATGTCTTGAAATGTGTGTCTATGCTCTCATAGTGGATATTTTTGCAGATGAAGTTCTGTCTCAACTAATATTTCTTGGCTATTCTAATTTAAAGTTGTTCATTTAAATCATGAAAAATATGAAGCCAGTCCTATTTGAAAAATAGATGATCGTTTCTACAGATAAAGCATATATTCTACATAGATATGAACCCATATACAAATAACAAAGGGCTGGGAGTTTCTCACATTATCCTTGTGAGAGATTTTGGTTTTCTTTTATTGTGTTTTCTTTTTGTAGTTTTTTATTTATTTAAAAATTCTCACCTCTCTGGAGATTGAACTCTAAGCCTTTCATATGTAAGGCAAGAGCTCTATGACTGAGCTACACACCCAGTGTCCACCTATTTATAATTTATCAAAAAGTCCCTCTGGAATTAATGTATGGAAAAAATAGAAAATGTATGGAGAAATAGACAAAACAGTCTATTTCTATTGTTTAGTCTATTTCTTATTGTAAAGTCAAGTAAAAGTATCAGTATGCTTGAAACAGTGGGATAAAACACCTTCATGTTCTGCATTAAATTGAATTTACATGGTTGTCAAAAAACACTGAGGGACTGAATACACTCTGGTATGTTATATGCACTGTTGTGGTAGAATCCGCAGTGAGAAATGAGTGAAACACCTAACTTATAAAACCAATGTATGCCGAAAAGCGATACTGTTAATGTTATTGAAAATACTGAAAAATTACTTAGAGGGGTAGCTTGGTTTATAGCTTGACGTACCCCCCAAAGCCTCGTGAGTCCACAGCTGGGGCTTCTGGAAGGTGGCCAGACCATGGGCTGTGATACACATCTCTGGATTGACCTGCTGAGGAGCTAATAGCTGGGTGTGCTGTGGGTAGGAAAAGGCAGGCTGCTGGAGGTGTGGCCTGGACGGGCGCCTAGCCCTTCTCCTCCCTTGATCCCTCTCTGCTTCTGGGAGCCGTATCATGAGCTGTTGTCCTCTGCAGGTCTCTGTGGCACGCTGCCCTGACCTGGAGACAGCCAACTAACTACGGGCTGAATCCTCTATAGGCTGCGAACGAAAACAAACCTCTTCTTTTAATTTGTGGGTGTTGGGTGTCAAACATTGTGCTTCAGCAATTAGAAAGTAATTAATACAATGTGTCTATATTCAAATGTTGTTTATAATAAGTGAATAAAAGTGACTATGGTGGCTATTCGTTTACATTTTTGCTGCCTATATTTTTCTGGCCACCATAAGTTATTTCTTAATTCATTTTCAGTGTACAATTGAGAAAATATTTTCATAGTTTTTCTTCTCTTCTTCCTATCAGTAAATAGCTACAGTTAAGACATCAATTCTTCCTATAGGCTTGTCTATTTGTAAAGAGATTTCACAGCTAATTTTCAGTTTTATATCTTTGAAATAGAAAACCTTGGAGGAAACCTTTATGGTTGAGATATTCTATGAATGTGCTGTTTGTACTAACGGCTGAAATCAAATTGTAATATGTACAGAATAGATGATAAAATGCTTAAAATTAAGTTTAATGATACATAATTCCTTTCATTCAACTCTTGAGAGCTTTGTTGGAGGGTAGAGGCTTCTGAAATCTAGCCATACGGTGTCAGTGCTTGAGCACTCTGGTTCTTATCAGAGTGACAAAGAACACTTATTCACTGAGAAAATGCATTATCTCCTTATACCTACCAGAATAAATGGTCAAAAGTTTTTCCTAATTTTTTTTAAAAAGATCAAAAAAGCTAAGTCATAATTGGAAGAAAGCTAAATTAGCTGACCAAAGAGCATCCATTAGAAAAAAAACAAAACACATAAGAAGCATTCCTGTTCAAACAAGCAAAACAAACAAACAGGATCAAAGGAATCCTTTCCTATTGCTCTTTGTCTTAATGTTAACACATGTCTCAGCTATTGTAAAAAGTAAACATTAAAATTGAATGAGCAAAATTTCCATCATTTCCTGGACAGACTATTTACTATAAAGCTCAGGAGAATCAACTGAGACAAAAATACTATAACTAATAAAAGAGTTTAATAGGGTGTTTGAACTCAAGGTAGCCACAAAATTCAATAATCATCCTATTAATTAGGAAATAGGAACTATTATTTAAAAATATCAATTACAATTTTATTTGGATTTTTTTGGGGGACCAGGAACTGAACTTCAGACTTTGTACTGGCCAGGCAGGCACTTGTGCCGTTGAGATATATCCCTGGCCCATTAATTACAATTTTATAATTCAAAAGCATAAAAAATATACAAGTGCCAAGGTTATTCAACAAGAACTCTACAGACATTTTCTGCTGAATTCTTTAAATTTTGAAAAAAAAATACAGAGAGGTATTTGAATAAGTGAAGACATGGATATGGCTGTTAAGTGAATCAATTCAATTATCCTTAAAAAATCTCTAATTTTTTTTTTTAATTTTATTTATTTGTGTGTGTGTGGCCAGCTCAGCCCACCAGGGGGCGGGGCTGGCTGGCATGTGGTGCTGGGGGATTGAATATTGACCCTGTGCTTTGCTAAGCTTGTTCTAAGTAGGTGCTTTAGACCACTGAGCCATCTCACCAGCCCAAAATCTCTAAATTGAAAGCAATTCTGCTCAGGATCTCAACATATTTTACACAAATTTGATGAATTGGTGGCATGACTTCATATAAAAATGTCAATATCTGCAGCACATAAGAAATTATAGAAATGGGCCAGGGAGATAGGTCAGTAGAATAAGCTCCTGCCTGGCAAGCTCAGGATTCTGAGTTCAATCCCCAATACTGAAAAAAAAAAAATTATGGCAATGTTCAGATGCTGACAACAGTTTGTTTCTGTACATAAAGAGTTGCCTCCGGGGCTACAGCTCAGTGGTACAGCACCTGCCTTACCAGGGTGGTGTCCTGAGTTCGAGTCCCAGTACCAAAAATAATAATAATAAAATTTCTTCAAAGTTTGAGTAGCAAAAGGAGTTCAGTTGATCCAGAATTAGAAGGCTAGATCAATGACGCAGAGGAAAGAGTTGAAAACAAATTCCTGTACATATGGGTGCTTATTATATAAAAATATTTAAAACCAATGAGTGGAATGTTGTTTTTTCAATAAATGTTGTTGTTGTAATTGGCCAAACACTTAAAAATAATTTATATCAACATTTCCCAACCATTTTGGCACCAGGAAATGGGGCCGCTGACAGGGTTTTGATATAATAATTCCGCAGGCATCTGACCTATTGTGGTCTCGGTGCAGCCAAGCCTCTCTGCTGATGCTGATCTGATCTGTGTTTGTCGCTGCCTCCTAGGGCCAACATTGTCACCTTAGTGCCACCTCAGGTCACCAGGAATTCCATGCGCATAAGAAGCACACAGTCTCAATTTTTCTGTGCAGTTGACAGTAGGGTTTGTGGTTCTATGAGAATCTAATCTGGCAGGAGGTGGAGCTCAGGAGACAGCCGCGAGCTATTTTATTTATTTATGTATTTATTTATCTATTTATTTATTTAGTACAGGGTCTACAAGGTCTCACTACACAGATTGGACTTGTAGCGATTCTCCTATTTTCAGCCTCCCAAGAGCTGGGATTACAGGTGCGCACCACCGTACCAAGTCTCAATCGCTGGCTCAGTGCGCTCCAGGAGGCAGGGCCGGCACGGCACTCTGGGGATCGAACCCCAGCCGCTGAACACTGCCTAAGCAGGCACTTTAGTCCACTGAGCTATCTGGCGGGCCCTATGAGCCACTATAAATACACATAAAGATTTCCTTCCTTGCCTGGAGCGCACCAGTACCCCTGTTGCACAGTACCTAATGGCCATGAAATGGTATTAGTGGTGAATACTTGGTATATATAACATAACACAATGATCCCTATGTTCATCATACCAAAATGTAAGACATCTAGGCATAAAAACACTACAAGAAAATACAGAGAAATATATTACCAAATTTTGAATACAAAAAAAAAAAAAAAAGATTTTCTAAGCAGTGAAGCACATTATGAAGGAAAAAGACTGACAAATTTGAGTGCAAAAGTAGAGCCAAAAAGTAGAAGTAAGGAACAAATATTGGGAATATTTGAAACATGTATATTGACAAGTGGTATCTACAATACAGAAAAAGCAGGCCGACAAGATAGCTTAGCGGTCTAAAGCGCCTGGCTAAGCAAGCTTAGGCAAGCACTCAAGGACCACGGTTTGATCCCCGGCACCACATACCATGCCAGCCCTACCAGGGTGAGCTGAGCTGGCCACAAAAAAGATCCCTAAAAAAAAGTGGCCTGGGGAGACAGCTCAGTGGAATAAGTGCCTTCCTGGCATGCACAAGGTCCTCAGTTCAATCCCTGGAACTGAAAAAAAAGAAAAGAAAAGAAAAAGAAAAAGGAAAAAAGATACAGTATGGAAAATGCATCTAGTAACCAATAAAAAAGCTAAATTAATAAAGGATATAAAAAATTACATTTTAATAAAGAAATGGGAATTACTATAAATACATAAAAATATCCTGGGCATTTATATAAGAGAAACACATGTAGCATCTTCACATTTTGTACCAAAAAACAACACTTCATCCAGTCACAGAGGTAGCCTGGGGTATATTTTGTTATAAGTCTAAATAAGTATAGTCTCTTAAAATGGTAAGATAACAATGTCCATTAACATTACCAAAGCAAATATTTCTGACCTAGCTACTCACCTCCCCTAAGACTGGACTGAAAAACTATTTTGTGTGTACTGGCACTGGACTATCCCTACTGAAACTCTAAGTAACAAGGAATTAGCTCTAACCTAAATTTCCATGATTAAATTATGCGATAGCCACTCCACAGAAGACTTTCTACCTGTGCCAAACCACAAGGAATATTCAAGCAAATATTAAATGTGGAAGAGCTTTGACTTAACTGTTTCTTGGGATTGAAATCATGCAAGAGTTACGGTACCCTGGGATCAACTCCTAAGATTATAACAACACTCCTCCACACATCAAATTTTCCTCACATGTTTACAGAGAAGCCCACTCCACTAAAGCAGGAGCTACTGAAGGACTTCTGGCTCCGCACCCTCTGGTTTTGCTCCATTTTCTCTCAGGCATAACCTTTCCCAGGGCTCCCAATCCTCTTCTAGAGAGCCAGTCTCCTGAACGTAAGGCTGTGGGACTTCCTCAAGTTGTACTTTCCACACCACTCCTACAGTACAAGAACTATCAGTTTCTGTTATTAACAGATTCAATGTTTATCTAGAACATCCCATACCATCATTACATAGTGGAATAGTGATATGATGTAAAAGAACAAGGAGCAGTCCTTAACTCTGAGCACAGCGTACACCATTTTTTACACTTATCAATACCCTTCCCTAAATATCTGCAATTGAGAAAGTCAATGCTAAACAAAACAAAAACCCCAGCCAGCAAAATGCCTTATCTTTAAGCCATTCACTACTAATGATGGAGAATAAACAGATAATGGGCCCCTTAATTGGAAGCTATAATTACATTTAACAATTTGAAATTATTCCATTCTACAGTGATTAATTTTTCCTGTCCTATATAGCAAGTCATCTTTTAACATGAACCAGGATTCTCTTCAGAAAAGGGGCACTTACCTGACATGGAATGGGATGTTGGGCACCTTTGTAGAGACCTCCAAGTGGTCTTTGTCCTCACAGACATCAGTGAAGTATACTCCAGCGACACTTGTCACCAGATTCCCAGGGAAATTGGACAGCACCTTGTCACAGCCATACTGACTGGCCCAGGGCCAGGCTTGGCCCTCGATGAGCAAGCCTCCACCATGCTTCACAAATTGGATGAGCTTTTCGGTCAACGTGGCATTGTAGGCACTGATACAGTAAGCCCCCTGGGGCTCTCCGGGTTCCAGCATGGTCTGTGCTTTGACCCCAGCATCTTTCAGGAGGCTCACTAGGGGTTCCAGGCATGGGTGCACCCCAATGGGGGCCTGAGGGGAGACACGGAGCCAGCCCACTGCATTGACAAGAAATGGAGACAAACCAGCATGGGACAAGTAGCATTCATGGGATATGACGACAAGGTGGCCCTGGCCATAGGAGGAGGCAGCAATGAGCACCTGACTCTTGTCATTGACCATCACAGGGAAGGAGGCCTTCCCAGTAAGAAGGAGCTCACTGGGGGTGAACTCTTTGGGAAGATCCCAGCTTGTCACTCCTTTCATGAGGGCCTCGAACACATCACAGGGCATTGTCTCCATGGTTCTATCAGTGGCTGCAGAGGAAAGCAAAGACTCAATACAATAAAGGAAGGCAGAAAAGTTTCTACATCTATGCTGAGGACAGAGTCTTTTTCATAAAATACAAAGGTCAGGGGATATGCAGACAGTATGGCCATGGTGCTATTCTACTTGGAAGCCCAGATAATCAGGGGCATGCTGGATAGCACCTTTCTAACTATTGAGCTGGGTGAGAAAAGGGAAGGTGATTTTCCTTTACATTTTGAGAAGTAAAGAGGCGAGGCAAAGGACTTCAAAATTTCAGAAGTATCCCAGACTTTGTGTGTTGTAGTGAGTGCTTCATTTCCAAATAATTGAAAAGGCTCTGGAAGTTTAGAGAACACAGGAGGAAGCTTACTGCCGAGGTATTCTTGGGTGCCTACTGATAGACCTTCTCGCTGGCCAGCCGGTCTTTCTACCTGTAACCAGTGAGCTGGCCACATGTCTATGTAGTCTCATTCTCAGGTATTTTCCTATCACAACCAAACAGACTAAGGCACAGTATTACCACAAACACAAGGTTCCTAAGCCCCAAACTCTATACACAGAAGAAGGGTGTAGGTGCAACCTCCCTCCCTCTGTGCCTGCAAAGCAGGGCAATGCGTACCCTAGAAAGTCAGAGAAGCTCACCTGGAGGTTTGAGAATATCACTCAGTTCTCCTAGGAAAGAGAAGAGACCTCTGAGTGGAAGTAACACATGAGTGGTCTGAAGCCTA